CTTCGTGCCTGAAAATCACCAAGGCATCTGTATATTCGATCAACATTAGTAAGGTGACACACAAGCCATATAATATTCCCGTAACATCCTACAATTCAATCCACTACAAGCGCTCGCTGCAATCTTTACATTTTCGGGGGAAAATGAAATCTATTCTGTTATATTACTCCCTTTTTTCGGAAATAGGTGGTACCTAGTGTCTTTAGGCACTCTTGTGCCTAAAATACCACTCCTGATGTCCCGATTATGTTCACTCCACTCGGTGCCTCTAACACCGATCATTTCGATTTAATAAAACGGCCTTTGTTTCTTATAAATCATGCATCAGGCCAAGTGAATAAAACGACCTCTGTTTCTTATAAATCATGCATCAGGCCAAGTGAATAGGACAAAAACATTGAAATGCACAATAGTACCTCTTGCTTAATGGTATTGCGGTAGCCCACTACGCTTATGAGTAGCCCTAGTAGCGGCAGTCTACCGCATTGCTAAGTAAATTTACCGTAATGGTGTTGGGTAGCCTGTCATATTTGTTCGTAAGTGTACTTACCTTACGAAGTAGTAGTACTATAGTACGTAGTAGTATCCGCCTTGGAAGTCTACTGTAGCAGATTTGTTCTCCACAGTACTACGTAGTACATGTAGAACTATTAAGGCCGTGTTCGCGGCAAACGACGTTTTACTAAAACTGCGTTTCAGAGTTGTAATCTATTTTTGACGATGATTTGGCCAGCGATGTGAAACGTCGTTTCGCTCAATTCTTGTTCGCACGCAACCAGCGTTTACCCTGACCACCCACACCTGGACAAACGGACTGCCTCTTCACAAAGAATGCTGGACGAAAACTTCCCGTTGCTTGTTGCTGTTGTGTGTGCTCGACTGGTGCAGAACCACCGCTTGTCGAGGCGGGCTGCTCACGAGAATATGGTGCGCGTACTAGGTCTGATGACGGCAGACGGACAGCGGTTCTTTGACGCCATTCGCTCATCGAGAAATTCCTTCCTGTTTCGGGATCACTTCAGGATGGACGTGGCCGCATTTGACGCATTGTTCGAGCTCTGCCAACCGTTCATCGTTGACACCGTCCGCAACCAACGTGAGGTACTGGCGGTGGCTCTCCACTGGATTGGAGCGGCATCTACATGCCGCATGCAAGAGGTGCTATTTGATCTAACGTTTTCTACGATTCACAAGTATAGAATTCGAGGTATTCGAGCGATTTTGCGTGCGATTAACAGCTCGATGGAGATTCCTAAGCAGGTTCCATCGTTTTTCTGGTTGAAGCACCCCTATTATCACCAGGCCTTGGGGGCAATTGATGGAACGCACTTTCAAGTGGTTGTGAGCACTGAGGATACAGCTCGCTTTAGAAACCACAAGGGTTTTGTCACGACCAATGTGCTACTCTTTTGTAACTGGAGTATGAAAATTTGTTTTGCTTATGCGGGAGCTGAGGGAAGTGCGCATGATGCGACTGTACTACGATGGAGTTCTCTGCTCGACCAATTACCAGAACACTTTTACGTTCTAGGAGATGCTGGATATGGCCTAAGTAAACAGGTGTTAACTCCCTTTCGAGGGGTAAGATACCACCTGAAGGAGTGGGCGACTAGTGATGCTGGTCGCCCACGCAGCCCAAAAGAACTTTTTAACCTACGACATGCGAAGGCTCGCAATGTTATTGAGCGTACCATTGGAGTTTTAGAGCGTCGCTTTAAGGTCCTCCGCACATGTATGGATAACAAAATGAAGACGATAAAATCTGTCATTTACGCTTGTGTTTTAACGCACAATTTTATCCGTGAGTATGATGCATCGGACCTTGGGTCCGATCTCGCCTCTTCTCGTCGAGATACGCGTAGTCACCGTGCTGTAAATGAAACTTTTGATCCGATTCCGTATGACTTCGACACTTCTGACAATTGGCGATCTTGGATGGCAGGCACAATGAAAATGAAACTATCATGTTGGTCACCCGTGCACGTTACCTTGGTCTGTTATTAGCCCGTGTCATCATACGCCATATCGAGCTCAGTCGTCCGACGAAGGCGATGCAGCAAAAGCTGCGGAGTCGGACTGTGGGGCTTGGTCACCCATTTCTTGGCGCATTTTGTACTTGATGTAGACGGTAAAAGTCTTTAACAGCGCACCAAGTTCCTCATTGAAGTCTCCAGAGGGTGACTGCCTTTGTTTTTTGTTGCGGCGCGTCTTTGAAGCTCCATCACGGATACGCTTTACGGTCTGGACACGACGCTCGTGACTTGGGTGGAGGTCTTGCGCGGCAGCGGGGGTGGTCACAGAGCTTTGCTCGCTACTGTCGGGAAGTAAAGTCTCATTGGGCTGCGGTAATGCAGGCTCTTCTTTTTCCGTGGCGTCTTCCAGCAGGCCAAGCAGGCTCTGAACGCTTTCCGCATCCCCACCTGTCGCTCTTGAATCACCTGCACAGACGAGTTTAGTTTAATTTCAGAGAAAATAATGCATCGCTTACCTGCAATTAGACTGCAGATGGTCTCGTGTTCAAAGCCGTTCTTACGCATCTCCTTGATGCGACCTCGCAGCTTGGTTGGTTTGGCGTCGATCAGTTGATCCCAGACGTCGTCATCGAGAAGAGGTTTCCCCGTTTGACGGCAGGTACCGCATCCACTCAGCGACGTAATCTCCTTGAATAAATCGTAGTCTTGCATCAGACGCTGCACCTTGGACTTGTATTGCCCTGTTGAACGTAAATTAGAAACGCAGTACCTTAGCTAAAAAGCTTCCGTTACCTTTGTCCAGAGTCTTCTTGAGCTTGGTGTTCAAAGTGGTTTTGATCTCCTCCCACGCCTTGGATTTGACACCTTTATCCGTGGCCTTTGACGGGTCCTTTCGTGCCTCAAAGTACCTCTCCAACAGTGCAAGCTCCTCGCCCCTAGTCCACGTTGCACGCTGGGCAGCAGCAGCATCGTCTCGTGTGCTCATCGAGAACACCTTCGGGTCGTTAGGGGGAGGATTTTGCAGTGCGCGCAAAAGCAAAAATGGCAAACTTTGGCGCCTAACAGGATCTTGTCAGTGTGCTGAGGGGATACGCGTCGCTTTAGGCCCCAGCCAAATACGGGCCAAACAAAATTCACCTCCGGGCATGAATTTGAAAATGGGGTCCGAAACGACGTTTTGCGACCAAGTTTGAGCTCTTTGGGTGGTTGAGTATCGCGACGACCTTGATCTGCTCGCCGTCTTGTGTGCCGTTGACATAGTGCGAGCCTATCGAAGCCCATCGGATGTTGTCCCTGGTGCCGTACGTTCCGACTAGAAGGTGTGTCGGAGAAATCAACGAAGCGCTGCAGAAGTTGTTTCCCCCAGCGGTAGAGCGGAGACCAGCAACGTATGTCTTGGTGCCACTGGACACGACGCTGAAAGAGTTGAGCTGGGAGCGGGTGGCATCGCTCGACGTGTTACCTGATGGTAAATCGGCAAGTAACCTGCTGTTGGCATCTTGCAGTGAAGTCGCGATGGCGTCGCCGGTAAGATCGTTGTTCCCTGGGGAAAAATTGGAGACCGGTGTAGTGTAGAGGCTTCGTGACCCTCCTTCCACGATTGTCGACTCCATTAATAGAGCAGCGCAAACAAGGACAAGATTCATCTTGAGGTATGGATAGTGGATACCTACAGCAAACTGAAGACAGGAAAACTACGAATGATGAAGCGGCAAGAACTAATTTACATCGTACCGGTAGTTCTCTTCATTCGCCAGCGTCATTCGGACTTTACAAACACTGTGCAGTACTGTACGTGGTTTTACAAATCTTTCTCTCGTACCAGCTGCTGAACAGCACAGAGATAAGGATTACGATAGAGGCTTCGCCATAACTCCACAATGGGAAAGTCGTCATTGCAAGCTGCAAATGCAACACTACGGTGTTGCGAATCAGCAACTTGCTATATAATAAGCAGCGCAAGATCGTTAGATTTTTTAATGCGGTGATTATGGTTAGGTTTAGAGGTGGGGGTAACATTTAGTGGGAAAAGCAATGCAAAATTGACGCCTTCGCTTCCATGCTTTCCGAGTGCGAAATTTGTTTAGCTGTCTATACGGGAACTGGAACGTCGTTTGGCATGCAGCATTTATGGATTAATCGCCTTTTTAAACTAGTAAGGGGGGTACCAAAAACTGCAATTTTGATGATATGCAGAGTCGTGGCATCCGTCCTGCAATTACCTCTGAGATCACATACTCGAGGCTTTAGATTTGCAAGGATAGCGTAGGTATTATAATAGCGAATTGAAAGAACAACAGCCATGTCGACCAGGTGCCAGATTTAGCTCAATTGTAGAGATTAAAATGTGGAGAGGGGGGTCACTTAAATATGGTGAATGGCCCATATCAATGTTAATCCTGCTATCCTCCTTCATTTTGGACGGAAGATCCTCTCCTGACGTCGACTCAACAACGAATAACGTTAGATTACTCATTGATGTTCCAATACTAATGTCTAGTGGAATAAAGGCCCTGGGACAAATCTTTGAAGCAACGAATTACACTTCCAATAACTGTTGTTATTCCATGATTTTATTCTCAGCCATACGTTGATGCTATTTTAATTTGAGACACATGTAAAATAGCGGAACTGTACCGTAATTGGAAACATAGTTCCCGATAAGGTAAATATCCGGATTAAGATGTTACAAGTTATTAAAAAAACGATCACTGGATCTTTCCCATCCATAATCTATCCCGAATTCTTACTTTACAGGTATTATACGTGTAAAAGAACTGCCAATGTTGATTGCCGGAACATGTGCTTGAAACCGTCTGTTTCTTCAAAAACGGTGCATTTATTTTAACATTTGCACTCGTTCATCACAATGACCAAACAGTTCCGATTCTTTGGCAGCCCAAGCAGGAAAATTCTGTAATTTGTGTTGTGTCAACAGCGATGCTTGGGGTTCTTGCTTCCTTTTTACTTGCGCGCATCGGGTCTTCAGCATGTGCCTACGGGACTGACACTCCTCGTCAGCTTATTATGAGTGGAGAAGTCGTACCGATCAACACCAAGACCTACGTTACCGGCATTCGATCAACCCCTGACGGCAACAGCTTCTGCGGCGGCAATCTCATCTCCCCTACTCATGTCCTCACTGCCTCACACTGCGTGATCTACGATATGCGCTGGGTCTCAGTTGGGAGTCATTACCGCAACGGCTCACTGGACGGCGAACAAATTCGGGTCGTGTCAGTCATGAACCACCCAAACTACTCGGAGAACGTCCGGTTCGCTGATGATTTCTTGGTACTCGAGCTCGAGCGACCCAGCAAGTTCAAGCCCGTAAAACTTGCTGCACCGGACGACTCCGACTTCAAAGCGGGACAATGGGCTGTAACGATGGGCTGGGGGGCAGATGCGGAGGTCAATGGCACCCATTCCTACAAGCTGCAGCGTGTAGATCTTCAACTTGTGAGCGATGAGGCGTGTGCTGCTAATGCTACCATCGACTCTAGTATGGTGTGCGCAGGTGGCGTTCTCAACCACGACTCCTGCTTTGGAGACTCCGGTGGACCTCTCATCCTAGAAGGGTCGGGTATGACAGAGGACGTTCTCATAGGACTGGTGAGCTGGAGCAAGGACGACACATGTGGACGAGATAGCTATCCTAGCGTCTACTCTCGAATTTCCAATGCCCGAATGTGGATTGATTCCATTACGGGTGGTAACGGTACTTGTATGGCCTTGTAAAATAGGCATCCGTGTTTCTTTCGTTTGTGTACCATGCTATTCGGGGTGCTAAAACAATAAAGGAAAATATTAAAATGCCTAGCGTTCCTCGCAAAGAACTCTGTACTCGTCATTGAAGGTTGGATCATCATGCCATTTTCGATGTCAAAAACTTCTCGAGCTCTTACCATAATGACCATGGAGTGTGTCACATAAATGTTCTCTAGTGTTTACTACTGTAGCACCTAGTGCTACTACTCGAAGTATCTGCGCTGGTATCACAGCATGTCTAAGCTACAGTTCGCGTCATGAACAAACACCGTTTTCGGTGGATAACAATGCAAGGTGCAATGCGATCACAACCATAATATCACAACCGGGCATTGCTACAAGCCAATTGACCCGGCTACGTGCCTGGAGTTTGATCTTGGCACTGTCAGGATGGTTGACAACAACACCAAGTTTGCCATTTTCTGCGTGTCAGATCATGTGATGATTTTATTTTCAATAATAATAATTTATCATACACTTTTCGGTCGCCTCTATAATTGAGTAGAGCAAATTCGATCGCATAAGTAGATAGGGCATCTCCCACCCCCATACAATGTTGATACGTTCATGTACACTAGACACGATCATTACGATACATAGTACTTAAACTAAGGCGTGCGTGATTAATGTGTCGCAGTGCCAAAATCAATTGTTTGTATTGGAGCTAACTGCAAAATCGCAATCGTTAGCACGTGTAGCCTTTTTTGTGCGATAATAGGAACAACATATCTAAATAGCACGCAAAAACTTTAAAATTGAGTGAGCTACAGCCACCGACGTGGGTGCGTGATCTAATGTGGCGCGGAGTGTATTATCTTTATAATATATTAATAATGAGAGGGAACACATTACAGTCGTCACCTCCAATTCGACACCGGTATCAGTCGATACCCTGCCAGATTTTATGATTACGCGAATTGAATGCGCAATTACCTTTGCCCATCACCACCCTAGCAATTAACCTCAACGGCTTTTCCCTCCTCGCGGAGGGATGACACGCCGCATCAATCTGATTTTAAATTTTGGATCGGACGTCTTCATACAAACATACACTTTGATTTTTACCGCCAAAGACAATGGGACATCGCCCTTCCTCCTACATGTCCCTAACTCTAGCACAAAAGCAGTGAAGCACAAGTCAGATCCTGCACTCCGAACTTGCTCGTTGGGCAACGGAGAGCTTTAAGACCCCCCAAGCAGTAAAGCGCACTACCGTCCAGAGTATTTTTAAGCGGTCGGCGGACGTTGCCGCCTTGCCGGATGCCTATCGCGACCGGAAGCGCTGTTGCGCGCCCGCGATTCGCGCGTCTGACGCCAAGATTATGCAGAAGATTGACGGGTTCAAGACTTGGCACGGAGACGCAACTATTCAGGGCTCTACGGTACTAATGATTGCTCAGCGTGAAGGAGTACAGCTACCCGGAGGCAATGCACCTAGTCGAGGGTGGCTGTACCGCTTCCAGCAGCGCACAGGGCTGTGGTTTTCGCAAGCTCCCGCCTAATACAACTGCCGTACTGCAGCTCATGGACCATTAAGTGCCTGAAGAATGAGTACCAGAACAAGAAGCAAGCCGCGGAGCTGGACCTGTTCTACAAGGGTGTTCCTTTCACGCCGGTCGACGTTTACTCCGCCATGAAGTGGTTGTCTGAAGGCTGGAACAACATATCTGCAAAGACTACAGTATTAGAAACTGTTGGTGCCACACAGGCATCGTCTCAAAACTAAACGTAAATTGTGTACTGAATTAACAAAACAAATATCAGTGCACTGAATTTGCGTTTGTTTTTTGCTTTACGATGTGCACTTATGCCCTGGCACTGCTGATATGGTCCGCCCTGTCCAATTGAGGTGCACGACTGTATGTCCCCGTTAATCGAGCATTCGGATTATTTTATGGACCATAACAAAATAACATATGCACGCGTTGCTGCAAACGTATTTTCCCCCTAATACTGGACCTTGAATCACAAGGGCATCTCCGGGGATTCCTAGTAGCAGCGAGGGTTAATTGCACGCTTACTGGGATTATAGTTCGTTTTGTTATCACTTCGTACGGTGCTGGCCCTAACTTGTGGAGCTATTTCGATGTTTCGGCCACTAATCACGCCCCCAAATACTGAAAATGGCCAATAAGTGCGGCTATTCAGGGCAATTCCAATGGTGCGCGACACAAAGTATGAGAATGTAGGCGTACATTTTCGTTTATAACGAGTGGATGTCGGCAGCACCAGTTTTGACCTATGCTGGGTCAGTCGCATGATCTATGGCTCGCCTCGGATGACGTACAACCTTGCCGAGTCACTAGGTTTTCTCCGTGGACCCAACAAGTGTCTGCGGTCGGGATGGTCCCCACTGCATGTAGAAGGAGACAGCTCCCTGATTCATAGAAATCATGTTTCGCTATGTGGCATTCCTCGTAATCATTGCTGAAACCCGCACCACCAATAGACTTGGCGATCACATCGTCTGGTACGCACTGCCACGCCTGCTTGCCCCAGCCAGCTACTTCACTCACGGAGGGTGGGCGTGGGTTGCCACCACGCGTGTACTCTATACGGTAGGAAGTTGTCCATTCGTTAAAAAGGTGCCATGTGGTCTTTAAAAGACTTGTAGATGCCTATATCTCCAGCTTGCAGATATGGCGTGCAGCCACCAGGCACAACAACCATCTCAATCTTTTTGGCTGCACATCTCGCCTTGATCGCCTTCGAAATATGAGCGCTCATACTGTCCCAAACGAGAGCTTTGCCCGGCAAATGATCCATCAGCACCGGAAATATAAGATCCAGCCATCGTTGGAGCAGCGTGCTGTCAACCCATGCCTCTTTTGTGTTACGACATATACTTCGTCGATTTTGTCTATTGTCGAGCTACTAATATCAGTAGTACCGGTAGTACCATTTTTCCAAATGACAAGCGGGGGGCAATTTAGCTCCGTCCGCAGTCACGGCCAGCACTGCAGTGACCTTCATCGACGCAAACCCCGTCGAACGAAGCACAACATGACGCGAGTCCACCAAATCCACCGTTTCGCGTCGAGGATCCTCGAAATATACAGCGGTTTCATCCATAAGTTCAGTTCGTGACAAAATAAACCGTGGCTTGAGGTGGGTGAAGTAAGCCATGAAGCGGACGGCACGTCGCAAAGTTCCACATCGGTTAAAGTGGTAAGATTGGTCGTGCGACGTAAGGAGCGTCCGTATCGATGCATAAACGTGCTCAACTATCACTAAGATGCAGCAAAAGAGTCATCATTCAGCTCGGTTCGGGCGTGGTGGACAGCAGCTTCCTGGATCCACTGCATCGACACCTTGTGATGCTCGGAGCGCATGTAAACAATTTCGTCAAAGACCATGTCCTCGATTTCACCAAGGTCTAGGACGAGCACTAGCACCCCTCAGCCGTAATTGGTCGCTCGAGGCTTGCCTGATGGCTTCACCAGTCTTGTACCAGTAGCGGATCTGGGCCGCGGAGATCTTCCATCCCATTTTAACAACAAAATGACTGAACGCTCTTGAGGGAACGCCGTCGGCGTAGCAGTCGATCTCGACAAGGACCTCTTTCTTCTTGGCAATACTCTTGGGGACGCGCTGACTGGGCATAGTGCTGGTGGTTTTGCTGCTGGTTGTAGGGTTCTTCGCTAAAGTGAAAGTGAGAACTGAAAGCAGGGCACTGGCTGTAATTGGAAATGTACGAACCGGTGGCTCGTATTTGGTATAATATCTGGAAGGGTTTTATAACTAAGGTTCATCTTGGCGAAATAGTATTTTATTAGGTGGGATAATCAATTTGGAGATGGTACTTTATTCGGAAGAATACGTTACCAGCCAGCATAGGAGGAACTACACCTTTACCAGTCCAAGCTGGCGGTAGTGTAAACCAAAGTGGAATGTCCCGTAACTAGACTTTTTATTTTCTTAGAGAAATAAATTCTGAAATTTACGACAGACCAATGTGGATTTAGTGTAATGCAAAATCCGATTACGTCCCGTAGCTCATGGGCTCGCTGCGAATAGCAGCTGCGACGGCGAGTGCGCAGTGGCGAGCCATCTTGTTGACTAAGAGCAGATCAATGCAGGGCATGCAGTGGTCCGCTGCTCTTTCGAGCAAGCATATACGACGCTCCGTCCTCTCGCCGTGCGGCAAATTGAACATTTGGTCGGAATTCAGAGCCAAGTAAGCCTTGATGCGGGCCTTCAAAGAGCTGAAGCAGCCTACAGTAGAGCAAAAACGTATTAGTGGAAAAACGAGCTCGTTTAAGTTCTACGTACCTTCGATCGGATTGCACATAGGGGAATTGGGGCCTAGCTGCAGTAGCTCCTGGTCCTCTCGGCCTTAAACTAAGTCTTCTGTTTGGTTGTGTGCAGGTGCGTTATCTAGGTCGAAAATAATCTTCTTACTGACGAAGTGGTCCCTGTAGACATCTGTTGCCTTCCCAGCATCGTAGATGTCGTCCACAAAAGCCGCATTTTACTTCCATTTTAATGCTTCCACGTCGTCTAGCCCGGTGAGCCACCCCAACCTCTGTGGAAACTGCACCTTGCAATTGTAAGCTCGCGCCTTTAGAAGGCGGAAGCGTCACAACTGCACGCTATCCAATGGGAGCTCGCTCTTGAGACTGTTTACAATAGAGATTGTAATTGGTCTCGTCATAGTAAACGATGGACGACCCCTTCCTTTCATGTGCTGCTAAGGCCTCACCAAATACACGTCGCTTTTCGATGTTGGTGTCGTTATTGCACGTTTGTGGCTCGAAACGAACCTGTCCGAAAACCATTTGCTTAGTACTTATATTAGTTAGCTCGTATCAGTACGAGACCAGCATACCTGCTTGACTGTATACGGCTTATCGCACAGTTTCTTGCTGATAAGTGAAGTGCTTATGCGAGTGCCAAAGTCAAACCATAGCATATCCTGCATTTGCACAAACAATTCTCATCTAGCTAGTCCACTAGCGCACCTCCATCTCCTCGGTACACTTTGTGCACGACGCACGCGTGCCGCCCCTCGTCTTGATCTCGGCGGACTTGCGGTCGATGATGTTGCGGGCTGTGGTGGAAGGGATGCCATTGTGGTCTGCAACTAGCATCCAGTCCCTGCCTTCCTTGTGATCGCCCAGGACCCGCTTCCTGGCGGCAAGGCCGTGCTTAGGCTCTCTTGCGCGTGGGGATGAAAGTCTGGTTGTGATAGTGGCTCGAAACCACCAGTTAGCGTTACACTAAATCCACGTTGCTCTACATACTAATTTTTGAATTTAAATTTCATTAATTTAATGTTACTTTAGTTACTTAATTCCACTTTGGTTTACACTACCGCCAGTTTGGACTGGCAAAGGTGTAGAGGCGTCTGGGAGGACAGTGATTTTTTTTAAAGTTTAAAATGCATGGAATTTTGATCATTTGCTGTCATGGGAAATGCGTAAGCATGTTAGCCTTATCACGTTTGTTTGTTTATTTATTGAGTAAGTCACTACTAGCAGTGCCAACCTCACTGTACAGACGATCAGTCGGTTTCCTCAAACAAAATTTAATACCGGTTAAATCAATATTAAAACGGTCTTATATCGATGTTTGCATTTTTAAACCATTAGAGACAAAATCACTCTATTCGAGAGTGAGCTGATGGATATGAACACTCGCTGGTACAGCATCACCGAGGCCAAGAAGGGCACATCACCTACCGCCAGACACAAGACATACACTAGAGCAATTGTAGTGTTTGATTCATAAACAGCGAATTTAGCTAAATATCCTCGCGAGGCAGAAAAAAGAAGCATATCCAGCAAATTACTTAAAATCCATTTCTTTTAAAAGACCATTTTATAACGGGCCATAAACACCAAGAACATATTCCCTAATTTCAAATTAAGTCATTCATAGGCGAACATTATTTATCAATAGTGAGTTACTCTTGCTTGGACGTAGTGTATCTAAAAGAAAAGAATTCGACTCATAAAAAGTGGCTTTACTAATGGGATCGTGCTAGTCCAACAGAAAATGGATATACGAAAATAAGGTCTCTCACACACGCGTGATGGGTAACGTATTTTTTCTGTGTGCAACAGAGAATGGGCTTCTAAATAAATGACGAAGTGGCAGTAATTTACGCGGTAAGTGCTCGGTAAGTGCGTAAGTTTGATGTCGTTTATAGTGTACATGTCGCCTTTTATAGTCTACATACTTATTAGCGAATTAAATCTTGTCGTTTGCTCATGTGTCCTATACAATAATATGGCACTGAGTATGACAAACTGAACGCACATCCGTTTTTTTTATAGACTTGACTGGGCTTCCCTGGAGCAGGAACACCTCGCAAAAAAACTCTAAGTCCCACGGGTTCTGTATAATTTTGGTTTGGTTCTGTTTGGCTTTAAAGTGATACCAAAATCAATTCGTGTTGAAGTTACCAGTAACTAATGTCTGCACTTACTTCTCTTCTTCCGGTTCGTCTTTAACTGGAAAGTGGCTCTGCAGATTGGTCACCTTGTGCAAGTACCGCATGCGCAAATAGCCACCTGCTTCGTACAACGAGTCGCTCCAATAGTTGCTCCACTTATCGTGAGTTGCTCCAAAGAGCAGTAGCTCTAACACGACCAAGCACCAGAGGCCGCAGGACGAGCTATTCTGCTGCTCACAGTCAGTGATAGTTTCGTACTGGATCTGGTCCGTCCTCTTCAGCATTGGCTCTACGACATTGCACACCGCCGTTCTGAGCGACGATGTTGCTCTTTCAACTGCATCGGGTTCGAGCAGGAAGCATTGCTTTCTCTCCACATCAACGTAAAAAGGCCTCCCCAATGATATCCGAGATTGACCGCACTTAATAAGTTTCTTGACCCCTGGCTCAGTAGCACCATACGAGCGAGCGATCCGCTCCCTCTTACAACTTGAGCGAGAGGGGGCAGTCGTCTCGCTGGTGGCTCAACGTCTTCTTGCGCAGCGCGAGTGGCGGACCGAATCTTCACGCGGTTTGCTTCCGCTTGCTGCTGGCGCGGCAGCACGACGAGATCCCGGGAAGGGGTCTTGCGCTGCTTGCTATGGCCAGGATAAGAAGGAAGCTCTTCTTCTGGTGGCTGTGCATTACACAACAGCACGTTAGACAGGTAAGAGCACTGCAAGGAACCATACATCACGGCTTACCATCGATTTGAGTGGGTTGTCTGGGAGCGGGAAAATCTTCGAATGAGCGGTCCACAGACTTTCAAAATTTTGAATGTCTCAATTTTGCTGACACGGCAGGCCGAAGTTATTTATTTGTCCTGCGCAACTGCGTGATAGCAGCTGGGGATCTGTCACTCCGTATATTTTGAAAAATACCGAAATCATACAGAACCAAACCGAATATGCTGTTTCTGTAGTGTGGATATTCTGCTGGGAAAATGACAAAATGTGAGTGGATACACTAAAGTTGTGACAGAAAGTTAAAGGTGTGCCAAAACGTGAGCAAAGTGGGGTCGGTATCGCCGGTAGGTGTACCAAGTGAAACCCGCGTCAGTAAGTGAGGAATTTAGGGAACAAACGTCACAATGTGTGTCTAAATGATTGAATGGCTGAAAAAAAGGTGGACCGGACTTAAACCCAAAAACCCGTTGTATACTAATGTTCGCCATGCGTATGAAGACCCAAATCGTACACTCTTGTGGAGTATGGCACACCAAGTATCAGACGACATTGCCTGAACAGACTCACCGAATACTGAGAGGAGGCGCGTGCCTCGATGGCTCGTGTTTCGCTCTCGCGTGCCTCCAAGACATATCGGCAACGCGACTGGCGACAGTGAGCGGGCGGCACACGCCGGCGACCAGGCATAGCCGGTGGCACGCGGCTACTGAAGCAGCAGCATGAAGGACAGGTACTGCTGCCGCAGGAGCTCGTAGATAGGAATAGTTTGAGGACTCTTTGACTAATCTCACTTCGCAACTTGGTATACAGCGCGCAATACGTCATAACTCTTAAGTACCAAAACCACTTATTACGACTGAGGGCCGCAAAATGACGGAGGACATCGACGACATCGCTGATGGATTGGACAGCGGCGATGAGAAAAACACTATTCAGGTCGGAATGACTTTTGATACTGCTTCACATGCTCTTCATGCTGTTCAAGACTACGCCTTATCTCATGGGAGGTCTGTACAGTACGAGTTTTACGTGCGCGTCTATACTCAGTACTGCGACCTCTGCAGCATAACACGGTTTCATGCAATACCAGTGTCTGGTGAGCCACAAGAATACACCGCTACAGGATCACCTAGCCCAGCTCGTACTTGAGCAGCAAATGGATGGATTTTCAGTGAGCGATCTGCAGGCCTATTACACGACGTGGCTGTGTTTGTAATATATCCCCCTGAGTCAGAATAATTAGCGCGAGTTAACCTGACTTTCTCCTTGAGTCAGAATAACTCGCGCGAGTTAATCTGAATTATCTGAGTCTGATTCGTACTGAACGGCTGGTTCCGATGGCCAATCCCGAATTAAGGGCGCGATGACCAAGCGCACGTGCACCCAGCGGGCCGAGAGAGAGAAGATAGAGCTGCTGAAAAGTGGAAAGCTTATCCAGAATGGACTGCAGCAGACGCTTCGCGAGAGCTAACGTCAAGGAGCCTACTCTGCGTGGATGAAAACAACAGTATCGGGATAAACTAGACTGGGGGCTCTGTGATTACCGGTATCGTCTCCCAATTGGGATTGGCTCCCACCGACCAACAAGGGATTTGCTGAATGCCAATTTCCGACAGTAAGTGAGTCGGTACGAAAGCTGTGTTCACCATCTTCGTCTGAGATCATTTAACACTTTCTGTCACAACTTTCATGTATCCACTCACCTGGTGTCTTTTTCCCATATTCTGTTGCTCTAGACTGCTCCCTACTAATGTACGACTCGGTTTTTTTAAGCATTACAAATCTTTAAAGTAGTAACAAAAATCTACCTACGTTGCGACGGGTTGAATAGATTAATTCCTGGTCAGTTCCATCCCCCAAATACCATTTTACGACGCCTTTAACTAAACAGCGTCATTAATGCCATGTATATGTAGTAGTACGGTAGCTGGCAAAAATGAGTGAGATAATATCTCATATTTTGTCATGAAACGTAGGTGGGCATAATAACCTGCGCGCAGTGTAAGACCAAAGTGTTGCGAAGAAGAACGGGCCCCGTTACGGGGAGCGTGGACCACAGCACTTTTGGCGGACGCTTAAGCTCTGAGGAGCTCCACCAACCCTGTTCTAAGGCGAATCCTCCCGAGAAAGCACACTTTTATTATTCCAAACGCCCTCGTTTCGGCAACAGAGAACAAAGAGAGATCCCGCCTCCCAAAACACCCGCCTACAAGACGCTGACAATCCTCCAGTCCACATCATCTGGCTGTGTAACAAGTGACTCAAAGCGCCACACTGCGGACGAGTTCTTCTCGACGACTTGGTCCTCAGCTTCAGCCGTGTCGACTTCTAAATGCTCTACCGCCTCGAATTGCACATCCAACCGCAGGCGTTCAATCATAACTGCCTCGTCTTCCGGCTCGATATGTTCCATGGGATTCACCACCACGTTTTCCTCGCCCTTGTCTTGTTCATTCCCCTCCTTATCCAGTGCAGCAACTTGCGCTCGGTTGAAGGCTTCAAGCGCCTCCTCCTGCTTCAGGTCCGCAAGCGACATCCGCTCCCAGTGGACATCATGCAGATAAACCCCATTAATGTCCAGCTGCTTCAGAGTGAATCGGTTGCCAGTCTTGCTCGTCTGCTTCATAGCGAAGAGGAAGGCGTCGTAGCAGGTCTCCGACAGTCCAGACTTCATCTTCTCGGCCGCTGGGGACTCCGAGATAACACCCGTGGCGTAGTTTACGAACTCTGTCGAGTACATGGTATTGACTGCAAAGTCGCAGGCAAAGCGAGCTCCGTTCAGGAAGTCAACGGCATCGATCTCGGTGTTAGTGGGCAGCTGCAGCTGAGTGAAGAGCAAGTAGTTATGCAGCATCCAAGTGGACGGCGGGAAGACGCTGTGCTCCCGGTATCGCTCCATTTGGGTGACTCGTTCCATGGCGCGATTAGCGAACTGCAGCAGTCCATCAGGACCGTCGAGGACTGAAGGTTTCGCATCGGAGGAGGATGAAAAATGCTGTGAGCATTGACACAAATGTGTGAGAAGGGAATTCGGACATGCAGGTGGACTCTTCGCGCCTGAAAACTGATGAGGATAGAGAAGGACGTACATGTAATGAGGAGGATATCGATGACGTGAAGTGCGGGGGTCTGTGGAGGCGCACAGGGAGGCGCACACCACGGCCGAGCACCTGCATCTTTGCTACGGCGGATGGCTGATTAATAATTGCAAAATGATTGGCTGAAAAAGGAGTTGCTTGTGCTCAAACATGAACCGGTTAAGGTAAAATGCCAATTAGGGGCCGGTGGCCAGTTAAGGGCCGGATTCGGTTAGCCAATAGGCAATTCGGAATTTCAGGCTTATCTATTTTCATTGGCCACTACTAAGGTATCACATAAGAGATTACTTAGCAACCCATAGTGAAATCAAGCGGCCCTTAATTGGCACGGCCGTCACATTTTATGCACTGTTTTAAGTTGTCCTACTGAACACACCATAGCTGATGTAAAACAATTTAATAACCAGGGAATAAACAATTGTGTAAGCTTTTGATTGGTGCCAAGGCCATATTTTATTTTTTTCCTAGAGCAAAAGATACAGTCAAAACAAGAAAAGGTTGCTTTGAACGGCCCTTAATTGGCATTTTCCCTTAAATCCAAAACGTTGTGCTAATACAGTTCTCTTGGTTACTAGTATTCAATACCCAGTTGAGATCTCCAGCTAGTCTCTCCAACTGGGTGTAGAACTCCTTTTCACGAGCGACTCAAAGACGAGGGTAGTCCCAACGGCTCTTTTCACATTGATCCGCTCCGAGTCTTCGTCACGGCTTCGATTGCCTGGATCGTGTTACAGAGTCTTCTTTTGGAACTGCTCGAAAAAAAGGCGAGTCGTCTAGGCCTTAAAATATTGAGGGTATTTCATCAACCTCTCGATGCAGCTTGTCATGACTTCAAACTCACTGCTATTATAATAGTTGCTGGATCCGTCACCGCCCATCCCACAAGCCTTTTCTTGCTGATATCGGCCACAATTTGGCCAGCAATCTCCCAGAGTTGCCACCTTCGTCTTTGCTGTCTCCCATCGATTGTTCGCTTCGCTCAAAGGATCCTCTAACGTCAACTCGGTGAGAGCGATACGAGACAACTCTTGACCGAGCGTTCTCACATGAGGCAGGAACTGTCGCTCGTTGCAGCTGGGTCACATCGGTCTTTGTCACCTTTTGTAGGGTCTAGAGTCTAAAAGATACGGCAGGATGTCTACAGGCGACCTTGGCTTCAGTCATGAAGACCACCACATCGGGGCCGTTAAGTGCAGTCATCTGCAATTTCATGTACAATTCTGCAGAAGGGAGGAAACAAACCAGCGCTGACGCTCTTTCAAACGAGTAAAGACTGAGCTCTCTTAAAAAAAGATTCTTGGAAAACGAAAAGTGCTTCGAATTCCAGTTTTTAGTTGCCAACGCCAACATATTTTTCACAAGTATGCATTGCCAAACTACCTTTCCAACCTTCCTCCAACCATGGTCTGTTCATTAAAATAGTGCACATCAAATCTTTGTCCTAGTGGTGCTTAAATTTGGGTATGTCCGATTTTTGGTACGACAAAAACCGTTTATGTGGCATACATTATTTTCTCCCCTAGAACTATTAATAGGGGTTTATTTTGAGCTCACTATCGCAAATTCGAGCAGTATAGTAATAGTGGCTTCGTTAGAGGACAAAAGCTATTTCTACTCAGAATTGCTGGGTTTGCTCGCACCGGGTCCGACAAAAGCTGGACAATAATAGTCGAAAGCATTTGGCAAAGGTATTGCTATCAAACATTGCCGCAGGATAGCCTTTGACAAAAAAAACAAAAGGGGTAGCGTTGTTCAATTTCCACCAATGTATGTGCGCTCCCAGTCTTAGCGTGACAAACCAGCATGGAGGGAAATTTACGAGCTCATTGGGTGCTTGAGCTATTATAACCTGAGTGGCAAAAAATCGCAGACGTTTCAGAAATGAGGGTTTTAGGATAGATGAAAGGCACATCTTTCCCTCCATGCCAAAAATAACTTGTTCCTTTGTCACAAGAGTGCCGTAAACTTTTGATCTGTCCTAAGCTTACGACAGACCTCACTCAGTGAGTCACTGGGGTGTGTAAATAAACGTAATTTACCTGTATTGTGGTTTTCATCCATTTTGGCAACGCTATATCGGATCCGATTGGCTGAGCGCCTCCGAAATAGAAAGTAGCGGTAAGGTAAAATTTCCGGTCACAAATTGCTAATTCGAGCCTAATTACCCTACACCCTGCCCATTGATGAACTACTTCGTACTTTTTACTTTGAAGTACATGTACAATTTATCTACCTCATGATACGCGAGGTAGCTCGTCGCGCTGTGTCGCTTCCGCGTTGTATCAGGCACTTCTCCTCTTCCCCCGACGTGCAGCCCCCTTCTCCAACCGCCCTGTCTCAGTATGTCAAGCGGATTCTGGATCGGACGGACCAATTGAGGCGCTACCAAGAGAACGATGTTTTTCCTCCGAGCAACTGGCAACTCCGCAACTGTTACCTCTACGCTCTACTGCAACAGCCGACCAAGACCGAGATCGACGCCGTGGAGTTCCTCGAGGGCGCTAAATTCGCCAGCGAATGCGTCATCAGGGCGATGCATTCGCAAGATCTGATCGACTTTGCCGGTGAGAAGGCCCCCAGACCCCCGCTCGCGGACGAGATGGAGCAAATGTTCGAGTCTATGTGCTACCAGGTCCAGTTCCTCCCGCGCGTAAAGAGACTCGGACTGGGAGTTTCCAGTCTCGAGTTAAGGGAGCTCGACTTCACTGGGGTTCATCTAAGCGGGGTCAGTTTCAAAAGGCCAACACGTGCTACCTTGAAGACGGAGGAGAAGCTTCTAGCTGTGGGCAAGCAGGCTATGGCTCAACAGAAACAGAAGATGAAGGAGATGGGCGGTAGACCAAATTTTGCAGAGTTGATGTCCGGCTTTCGTTCCGTCAAGGAGCAGCTGGAGAGTGTGGAGATGGAGCCACACGACGGCTCGGAGACGCTCGAGAGGCTGCAGCTCAGTACGCTGATCCATACAAAGCAGACGGTGGAGGCTGTTTCGGCGAAGACAGCGGAGCGCATCGCGGTGAAGACTGAAGTCAAGACGCTCATGTGCTTCGAGTCCTTGGTCACGGATCCTCAGGACGTGGACTGGCAAATTACCCGGATGAAACAATATGGACGAGTAGTGAGTCGAGAATTAGTCGATCTTAATGCTGGATAACTAGAGTGCGACTCGACCTTGTAGCTGTAGATTTTACTCATAAGTGCTACGTCGTAATCAACACACGTGCTCCCGTGAGATAACAGCGTTTACAGTAATCCATGGAATCGCCGCCGCTCCCACCCCAGGGATGCCAAAAAATATTTGATGCTGCAATTATTGCAATAGATGTGTAGCAAAATTCTTTTGTTGGTGTTTAACCGATTGGTAGCAGTTATCTATTGAGCCAACCAAAGCACTTCAATAAGCTATTGGACCAAACTGTCATCAACCATCTCCAATTAAGCCAGGACAGAAGCCACCACATAATATAGCCCCACATCGACGCCAGCATACATAATTTCCTTACCTCCATATTCACAAGAAGCCCAACACCACCGCCACCCCCCAAGATGCCCGCCCCTCCTCGCCCTGCCGCCTCATCCACCTTCATTAATGGTCAAGTCGCCAATTATTTCTTACGGCCGTGCCGTGGCCAGTACGACGAGGTAATCCTCGAGTATTACCGCTGCAGATGCGGCACACTCCGGAAGCGAGTCGCTGGATCTGGCTTCACGAACCTGATGCAGCATATAGGGCAGGAGCGTTCTTCCTTTGCTGAGGAGGTGCTAGCGGCCACGCCTGGCCAGACAGGGTCTGTCGTTCACAACGTGAGCCAGGCTGCTCAAAACACATTCGGGTGGTAGGAATTACTGGCCACGTGCAACCCACCGCTTTCGTTCTGTGAGAGCAGGCTCGTACGACGGTATGCTCGTTAATATTTTCCAAGTTAATAACAAAACTAACGCGTTTCCTTTAATGTTGAAATGCAACGTCAGATACCGCAACCTACAGCCTGTCTCAGAAGAGACACTCCGGCGAGTCATGGAGGCAGTGACTCTTGTAGTAGAGCGCTCGATCGCAGCGGAGCTGCCCGAGCGATTTAGGCTCATCTTTGACGGGTGGATCCATGACTCAGAGCATTTATCGCGGTGTTGGCGTGGTACGAGGTGGACGGGGCACTTTATTGTCTCCTTCTGTGTATGGCTCCGCGCGTCAACGACTAGACCGAAGGTGTAGCGGGGCTGCCGTAGCTTTAGCGTCAGAGGAAGACGTTCGACTCAAAGAGTCACTAATACTAAGTTCCTTATCCAAAGGACACTTACAGCCCAAGACCAGGGCTCAAAGTTAACACCTTAACTTTTATGCTTCAACACCAGAAGTGTTTTATTTACTATTATTGCGGCCAAGCCGCCTAGGGGTAAATGTATCTCTTTAACTATCTAGCATAGTTAAACCAAATCAAATGCATAACGTGTGGCTTTCGGCCAACGTACTGAGAGACCTTGTTAACTCTCCAACTTATGTACTGAGAGTTTGTTAACTCTCCGGGTACTTCGTACCCCTGTGTGTTCCACACCATGTAACCCCGTTACACTCTCCCCCACTAAGATGAGAACATTCCGTTCTCGAAACTCTCCTCAGCGAGGTCACGTCTTGCTAAGACGGGGAGGTTACTACACCTTACACCAGCGTTGTACAGCTCCGTGAGCTCACAAACGCCTACGCATCGTTGATGCCCAACTTCTCGTCGTCGGCCCACGGCCCAATGCTCCAAGCGCAGCGCGCGTCTTGCTCTCAAGCGATCTCAGACCTACGCTCGCGCTCCGCGCCTACTCTAAGAGCTGCAAACCGCTTAGAGCAATGCTCTTGACTCATTCGAGTCGTCGACAACAGCTCAGCGGTTGAACACTCGCTTCACAAGCGATAGGTCGGTGGTTCGAGCCCACTAGGGCACAGCCCTCTCGTTCCATGAACGATTGTTCACGCTTGGACAAGCTTAAGGGCAACACCCTTTTAGCTCAATGGTTGAGCGTTGGCTTTGAGAGCCACAGGTCGGTGGTTCGAACCCACCAGGGCACAGCTCTGTCGTTCCATGAACGATTGTCCACGCTTGGACAAGCTTAAGAGCAATCCGCTTTTAGATCAGTGGTCGAGCAATGGCTTTGGAAGCCACAGGTCGGTGGTTCGAACCCGCCAGGGCACAGCCCTCTCGTCCATGAACTGTTGTCCTGAATGGACAAGCTTAAGGGCAACGCCTTTCAGCTCAGTGGTCGAGCGCTGGCTTTGGAAGACACAGGTCGGTGGTTCAAATCTCACCCGGGCGCAGCCCTCTCATACCATGAGTAGTCCGTTCTCGGACTGACGTACGGGCATCGACCTTATAGCTCAAAGGTAGAGCTCCGGCCTGTCAAGCCAAAGGCCACTGGTTCGATCCCCGTCCGGGACACCACTTTCGCTGTTACAGCGTATCCACATTTGGATCATGCTCATCGAGCAAGTTGTTTCAAAACAACTATGCGTCTATCGAGACGCTTGTGCCTGAACCTTGTTCAGCACAACACGAAGCACCTGCTTCCTTTGGGACCATGTCCCTAACACTACGAGGTCTCTCCACCTCCTGCTCCCGCTGCGAGCACCGCTCATACGTACGAGCTGGCTGCTACAGCCACTGGTCAGAGCCTGAGTTCAACTACTGACCTAATCGCTCCCCACTCTAGCGGGAGGCGCCCAGCGCCTGGCGACGCTGTCGCACGCCATGGTGGCGCTTCGGCACATGATGTGCCCGGTCGTAAGCGTCAACGACGTCAGGGCAATCTTGCCGGAGGATAACCTCAAACTCCCATGAGGTCTGTGAGTGAAGGTATCCCCTCCACTTCACCAAGTACTGGGTACGACTCTGGCGTCTACGCCGCGCCACAAGGCGTTCCACGTGAAAGTGGAGCTCACCATGCTCATCGAGCAGAGCTGGAGGAGGCCTTGCCTCAGCTGGGCTCTCGCGGGGAGAGTCAGCACTTGCCGGAACGGCGTCTGCGCCCATACGACGCCGGCGTCCACGACGCGAACGTTCCCGTTCACCGTCCATCGGTCGATCTCGAAGAGATGAATCACGTTGTGGATAGGTTAGAGCCACCACTGTTGACTCACAACCAGGTCTCGGACCTTGAGCGTCCAGTCGCTCGGCTGAGTGTTCAGCTTGGCTTGCTCCTGCATCTTGAGCACTTCGCTCCGCGACCTGTGGCTCTGCCACATGCTGTTGATCAGCCATCTGTGGATCCACCACTTGCTGTCGTTCAGCCTCCCGTGGCTCTACCACTTGCTGCCCTGCAGCTGTCCGTGGTCCAGCCACCGTTGGTGCCAACGCCTCCGCGCTCACCTGAGCAGGGTCTTGATATGGCTTAAGCAAGCCAACATAGAAGACCGGATGCGTGCGCATCTTCTTTGGAAGGTTGAGCGTATACGCTAGGCCCTTCCTGGCCACGACCTTAAACGGTCCTATGAACCGAGGTCTTAACTTCGTTTTGAAGACTGCAGACACTGCATGAGTAGGCAGGTTTTTAGCGTTTAATAAAACTTGGTCTCCGACCTCAAACCTCTCAACATTGCTTCTGCCCTTGGTATCTGCATGTTCCTTCTGCGTGTCTTGGCTTTCAGCCATAGCGTCGCGTACTTGACGCATTACGCTCAGTCTCAAAGAGACAAAGTCATCGACTTGCTTGCGAACCGCAACAGGGCTGACATCAGCTAGCCGCTCGGCTATCCCTCCCCCATCAAGCCCTGAGCCACTGCGTGGCGGCGTCAGTGGGACGCGAGGGTTAACCAAGCCGTTCACATAGAACGGAGTGTAGCCTGTCGAGGCGTGCACTGCATTATTTAATGCGAACTCAACGAGTGGGAGCATCTGGCTCCAGCGTTTTGGCGCCATAGCGCATACGCTTCGGAGGGTATCCTCCACAACGCGATTCACGCGTTCGGTTTGACCATCGGTCTGCGGATGGTCCGCTGTGGACATGTCTAAACGAGTGCCGAGCACTCTGGAGAGGGACGTCCAGAAGTTCGCGGTGAAGCGCGGGACTCGATCCGAGACAATTGCCTCAGGCAAGCCATGTTGGCGAAAGACTCGGTCTAAAAACAGCAAAGCTGTACCTTCACCATCAATGGTGTCCGGCACTGCCGCTAAATGAGCCATCTTGCTCAATCGGTCTACAAAGACCACTATACCCGTGTTTCCCGCCTTATCCTTAGGAAGGCCAAACACAAAGTCCATACTCATGGACTGCCAGCATCCCTTGGGGACAGGCAAACTCGCCAATGGCGCTGCCGTGCTCGGCGCGGACTTTGTCTGTTGACACGTCTCACACGTGCGTACATAGGTGCCGACCCACTTATACATCTTGGGCCCCCGGTCCCCATCATGAGGAACGACTACACGAGGGTTATCCTCAGCGTCGGTGCTGTAGTACAGCAGGCCGCGATCGAGTGAGTATCGATGCAGCCTCGCGCGTAAGCGCCCAGACAATTCCTTGTCAGAGTCTTTAAACTCTTCGCTCCCAAGAGCCCGTAGCAGCGCTACGCACATGTCGTCTTGTGCATACGCTCCGCGTATCAAGTCAGGCACTGACGACGTCACTGTCGTGACATGAGCTAACTCGTAGTCCGGCCTGCGCGAGAGCGCATCGGCCACTACATTAAACCGCCCCGGCTTGTACTTCACCTCGAAGTTATACTCGGCAAAGAAGGAAAGCCATCTTGCCATTCTCTGAGAGAGATGAGGCGACTGTGTCGCAGTGCGTAACGACGCATGATCAGTAAAGATCACAAAAGGCTTAGAGCCTAGCAGGTGTACCCTGAATTTGACTAGAGCATACTTCATTGCAAGTAGCTCTTTGTCATGAACTGGATAGTTCTTCTCTGCAGCTTTGAGCTGGCGAGACTCAAACGCGATCACGCGTAAACGCCCTTCGGCGTCTGCTTGTAGTAAAGCACAACCGATTGCAAAATCGGAGGCGTCACAGACAACGCTAAACGGACTATCCGGGTCCGGTAGCGCAAGGATCGGAGCCTGGAGGAGGCTCTCCTTCACAGCCTCAAAGGCTCCGTCGTGCTCGACGTTCCAGCACCATGGTGCGTCCTTCTTAAGGAGATCTGATAATGGCCGAGCCATCTCCGCGTAGTTCGCG